TTTTTGGATTGTTCGCCTCGGCCACACCCTCCCCGTGCACCAGCGCACTTTGGACACGCCCCCCTGTTTTCAGCCCCGTATTCCTGCATGACTTTTTCCTAGTGTTTCCCCACTTCTTCGGATTGTGTCGTCCGCATAGGGTCCGGAAAGAACTGTTCGTTACACCTTATGTTCCTCTATTGACAGAATAGGGCTTCAGACAGGGACAGACGAATACAAACTCACAGGAGAAATCAAGACATATATTTATAATTTTATTTCATTTATAGTTCTTCTCTGTAAGGATATCTTGTACACCAAATATCCCATTGGCAGTAAAGCGCATTCCATGTGTTTTTAGAAGCCAGAAACAGTCACTTGGTTTAACAAAACACAATTACAAAATAAAAATACCACAAAATAATGAACTGCATGTAAATCACATACAAGAAATCCATGCCTACTCAGTAGGTAACTACAACATTCCAACTCCTGAATATATAGATATTTACATTTCAGTTACAAAAATATACTTTGGAGACTTTTTTTGCTTACATTCTAAAGAAATGAAGCTGTGCCCTCAAGTCTTTCATCAGTCTTCCCTTAAAATCCCTCTTACATTCGGTATAAAAATATCCCTTTCACCTTAAGGCTATAGAGATGCAAAGCATCCAGTCACACAAACAGATGTGTCAAAACATCCACGAGGCTTCACAAAAGGCACCGATAAACGTGGTTTTTGTTTTTTCTAGATTTTTTGTTTTCCAACAGAACTTTTTGCGACATGGGAAAAAGAGAGCGAGAGAAAGTACCAGTGGGTGATATTTACAAAATAAGAGAAACGGACATCACTCTTACACATGCTTTGAATACGTAAGTGCTTTTTTTTTTTTTCCCCGTTAAACAAATTTCAAAACTGGTCACAGCATTTCCACTACAGAAGAGAGAGAGAGAGAGAAAAATATTTATAAAATATGGCCCTTGCTAACTTCAAATGATACAATGTAAATATGCAAATCAATTTTCACATCAAGAGTACCAAAGAATGAGGAACGGAACATGGCACATACAGGATACGTTATGCGTATGTATATCGTCCGAGTCTGTGCTGCCCGGCTGGCGCGCTGGCCGGGCAGCGAGAGGAGGGGGGCCGGGACCCCCCCAGGCCATAAAAACCGTGACGAGGCTCGAGTCTCTTCCACTCTTTTCCTGGGAATCTTGGGGAGGGGGTACAGGGGGCGAGCCGGCGGGGCTGTGCATCAGTTTAAAATCCCCGTGGGGAACCTGTTGCTCTCCCAAGTCTCGTTTTGTCTTTGCGTTTTTTTTGTTTTGGGGGTGCTCTCGTGTGCGTCCTCTTAGAGGAGTCCTCGGCACTTTTCTCAAGCCCCCCCCGAACACCCCTCTTTCCCTCTTTCGGGGTACCTTAAGAGTTCGAGAGCGAAGGGGGCGCAGGGGGTTGGGGGCGACGACGAGGCCGGTCCTCCTGATCGTGCGGGAGGCCAGACGAGCGCCCCGCCCCGCCCCCCCGGGGACCCCCCCCTCAGCAGATCTCGATCGTCCGTGGCGACAGCGTGGCCTGCATGTCCGACAGGGGCGTGGCCACCGGGGAGCTGTAGATGCTGGCGGCCGCCTGCGTCTGGAAGGCGCCCGAGACGGAGGGGTACGTGGTGGCGACGGCGGGCGAGGGGTAGGAGGCGTGCGCGGGCGAGGAGTAGCAGGAGGGCACCGGGGAGGGGAAGGAGGACACGGGCGAGGGGTAGGACGTGATGGGCGAGGGGTAGCTGGCCGCCGAGGGGGGCGTGGCCGCCGACACCGCCGCCGCCGCCGCCGCCTTCTCCGCCTTCTTGTCCTTCTGCCGCAGGTGGATCTTGGTGTGCCTCTTGCGCTCGTCGCTGCGGGCGAACTTGCGGCCGCAGATCTCGCAGGCGAAGGGCTTCTCCCCGGTGTGCGTGCGGATGTGCGTGGTCAGGTGGTCGCTGCGGCTGAAGTTGCGCATGCAGATGCGGCACTGGAAGGGCTTCTGGCCGGTGTGGATGCGGATGTGGCGGGTGAGCTCGTCGGAGCGCGAGAAGCGCCGGTCGCAGGTCTCCACGGGGCAGGCGTAGGGGCGCTCGTGGGGCGGGGTCTTGCTGGGCCGGTTGGGGTACTTCCGCATGCGGCTGGGCTTGATCAGCTGGGAGGGGTAGGCGCTCTTGAGGTCCTGGGAGCCCGTCTGGGTGGCGAAGGCCTTGATGGTGGAGAGGGGCGTGAGCGAGGGCTGCTGGGAGGAGGCGGAGGAGGAGGAGGAGGAGGTGGTGACGCAGGACGAGGAGGAGGGGCTCTGGAAGGGCTTCTGGTCGGGCGGCACCAGGCTGATCTCGCCCTGCTGCTGGGGGAACAGGTAGTCGGGGATCATGGGCACAGGGAAGCTGGCGGGGCAGGCCTTGGAGCCGGGGTAGGCGGGGGGCGGGTACTGCAGCCCCCCGCCCGAGGGGCTGGGGAAGGGCTGGGCCTGCTCGGGGAAGACGTCGGGGCTGGCGCTGGAGTAGGTGGGCGCCGCCGAGTAGATGGGGTTGGGCTCGCTGGGCTGCACCGAGCAGCTCAGGGGGGGGCTGTGGGAGGCGGCGGAGGCCTGGGTGGGGCCGGAGGAGGACAGGGACGGGGCGGAGGTGCTGGGGGGGTTGGCGATGCCCACCAGGCCGCTGACCAGGCTGAACAGGGGCTCGGCCCACAGGCTGTTGCTGCAGTTGGCCGCGGGCTCCAGGGTGAAGCGGCCGGTGTAGGAGATGGGTGGCAGCCGCTGGCCGGGGTAGCTCTGCTCCGGCAGGTGCTTGTCGCAGCTCAGGGAGATCTCGGACAGCGTGTCTGCAGGAGCAACAACAACACAGAGACTCGTCACACGGCTGTCACACGGCTGCTGCTCTGCTCTGCTCTGCTCTGCTCTGCGCCCCCGGGCAGCGCGTGGGAGCGGAGCGCGCTGGGGTCCCCCGCACGCTCCAGCGGGCTGCCTCGTGCAGCGGGAGCGCCCGGCACCCGCGCGCGCCGCGCTGACAGCAGGTGCTGACGCACGGGCGGAGAATCCCCCCGCGCGCGCCGCCCTCGCTGCTGCTCCGAGCCTCCGCGCTCGGCTTCTACCGCGAGCGCCGGGCGCCCCATCGCAGCGAGAGGAAGATGCATTCATTTCGAAGCCGTTTTACACGTCTGATGCTGTGCATCAGCCTGTGTGCAAATATACGTTCTCTTATTCTGTGGGGTTTTTCCATTTGTTTCTATGCACTGTGCAGCGCTGAAGCCCCCGACTGGACACGGTTCCGTTGCTAAACGAAATTCTATTACATCTCTATACGAAACAGCCACGTTTCCGAGCCCGTCTCTATTGCACCTGACAGTTGCCGAGCGAGCCGCTCGGAGCACACCGCTGCGTGCCCGCGCGCGGACAGGACAGAGCTCGAGCGCTTACCTCCTGTCAGGTGGTCGTACTGGTCCCCGGTTTCCCCCGCGCCGAACCCCGCTCCCTCGGGAGCGGAGGGGGTGAGGAACGGAGTCCCCGCGGAGCTGAGCAGCATCATCTCCTCCAGCTTGGGGTAATTATCCATGGGCGAGTGCGGGAAGTTGATGGGGTCCGAGATCTGCAGGGCGGGCAGGAGCATCTCCGTCTTGGTCGCGGCCATGGTCGGCGGGCGGGCGGGCGCGCGCACAGGTGAGGGGACCACCGACGGCTCCTCGGGGGCTCTGGCGAGAAGAGGCAGGAGCGGAGCCACAGTCTTCTCGGGTCTCCTTCTCGGCTTTCACGTTCTAGCACAGCACATCCAGTTTTGATGGTTGTTTTGTTTTGGTTTTTGGTTTTGTTGTTTAAAAATTAATTACAACGGTGAAAACTGGCACTTTTCTCGTTCATTCCAAAACGCGTTCGAAATGTTGCAAAATGTTGCCTTTTTTTTTTTCCTTGACAACTGACGAGGAAAATTCAATAGCTCCGGCTAATATTGGTTATTTCCCCTTTTTTTGGTTGTTTTTGGACTTGTTCTGATTTGTTTTATTGTTATTTCTCTCAGAGAGAAACAGGGAGCAATATCGCTCTGTGTGCCTGTCCTGTTTCGCTCTGTACTGGCAGTGAATCGAGAGCTGTTCCTCTATTTAGAGAATCCCCACTCCTTTTTATATCCTCCTGGCGTGACGTAGATGTCCATATATGGACAGGAGGAAGCCCATATTTAGCACTGCAGTGGAGGACACATGACGTTTGCCTGGGGAGGAAAGGCGGCTCGGAGAGAATGCGAAACAGATCCCCGTGCAATAAATCGAAAGCAAAAGGCCGATCATTGCCCACCGCGAGCAGAATCACGGCACCCCGGGGCCGAGACTCCCACCATTAAAAAAGGAAGAGCTGTTTGTCTTCGGCCCCGGCGCACCCGAAGTTCGGCTTGGATTTCCCGTCTGTGCTCAGCAGCTGAGCGCTTGCCGGAAGCCCCGGCTCCGCCATGCCATATAAGGTCGTGTCTACATATGGACTCATTCCGGTGGGTTTCCACTTCCTTGCCCTTATTTGGAGTTTCCTGGGGGTAGTGCTGAGCGCTGTCTGGCACAGAACGCGAGGCGATTGAAGTCCAGCACAGAGCGCTGCCACTGTGTTATTCTCTCACGTTAGGTGCCAGAAAACGCAGAACACAGCTTCTTTCCAAAAACAGCACCAGCAGCGTACAGTCCGCTGCTCGAAGCCGCGTGCTTTCGGAATAAGGAAATAATGCACAGTTGACACGAACGCCCAGACATATGGCGTAGCATTACGGGTTCGCCAGTAAAGTTCTGTGTGCACGAAAACTCTGGACACCTGAATCGAGTCAAAGACAGTAACACTGAATTATTAAGGATTGTTGTTCTCCCACATCCTGGGAGATGTGTGCAAGACGCGTTCAATACATTGTTCATAACGAAAGAGGTAGCTTGCGTACGCAAACTCCATTAATAATAATAATAATAATAATAATAATAATAATAATAATAATAATAATAATAATAATAATAATAATATTATAGCACATAGCCCAGCACTTGTTGCAACGATCCACCTTAAGGCAGGCGAGGCTGTATTTGAGAAGCTACCACTGCGGTTTTCTCGCTCCTGCTTCCCCAAGGCGGAAAAGGGTCAGAAACTTCTGAACGGCGTTGTGAGCTTTTTTGCTGACGAGTCGAATTGTGCCGATAAACGTCTGTGTGTGATTTGGGCCGGGGGGGTGCATTTTTTCGATCGGTTTATTCACGGAGGGAGAGAGGGAGAGAGGGAGACGGGATGGATTCTCACCCTGATGGCTGTGCGAGGCAGAGTGTTTTGCATGAAAATCTCTCCGTGGGGACTGCTGACATAACCAGGACTCTGCGGCAGGAATTGCGGGGGAGCAGCTACGGGGCTGTCTGGCTGCTCCGACACCCACAGGGGCCAGCCTGGGAATGCCCGTGAGAGCGCAGAGCGCTGGGCTGGGCTGGGCTGGGGTCTGGTGCCGGGGGACCCGGCGCGTGTACGTACAGCACACACACACACACGAGCTGCAGCTGAGCACGAGCCTCGGGAGAGGGGAACAGGTACGATGACTCGCGTGCGCGTACACACACACACACAATTCCGAACTGCAAGCGCGGGTCTGTCCAAAACACACTGTCCAGCGTCTGGGGGTGCCTGGGCTAATTCATCTTATCCCGCGGTGTGTGTATGAATGACTGAGACGCGCTCTTGTCTCGAACCCTGACCTCCACAGACTTCGACCAGCGTTGCACCACATCCAAGACTGAACATCGCATTTCTTGCTGTGACCTCACATCTCCAGTACAGTAGGCTGCTATAAGTTGTTTGGTGGCTCCAGAATTCGAGTAGCGCAGGAAACGCGTTTTACCCCTTTTTTGGGGGGTTCGTGGTCGTGTGCACCGGGCGCCCCAGGTACGCTGAGAGGGAGAGACCGCGCTGCTGCCCGGACCCGGAGAAACCTGCAGTGTGGTGTCTCGACACTCCGCGGCCGCCGCCAGCGCAGAGAGCTGTAGCTGCAGGGCGCCTGATCTTTGTTTACTCCGGTTGGCTGCAGGGATTTTCAGGCCTGAGACTTTGGAACCAAACAGATAAGCCTCCCCGCCCTTTTCGCGTCCAGAGCAGATGGGCAACTGCAGTCAGTTCATTCTAAATCCTACACACAACCTTCAGAATTATTTGCGCGTGTACACTGTGCTTTTCGTTCCCAAAGCCTCCCAGAGGAAGAGCTTCACACACAGGAGGGGACCCACTTCAACACCACTGAACAGCAGAACCACCTGGGTGACACTGTTCTGCACCTGCAGCCCCACGGCACACAGATCAGGGGAGCAGAGAGAAACTGTACAAGACCAGAGTGGGGTTCAGTCCTCCTGCAGCCCCAAGACACACAGATCAAGGAAGGAGAGAGAAACTGTACAAGACTCGTACAAACAGCCCTGGGATCTATAAAGCCCAAGCAGTGAGGACCTGAGTAAAACATAACTCATTCCTAGGTCATACTCATATATTAATGGTGGAGGAATCCATATTAATGGCAGTAATGCACACATTGAAGTGTATACACGTCGGAAAATGGGAATGCAGGGCACAGAGGGGCAGATCGATTAGGTGTCTTCATTTAGAATGTTTTACGGCAGGGAGGACATGGCCCGGGGCGGCCTCGTGCACGGTCCGTCTGGCTGTGTCGTCATCGCGCTCGGCTCCAGTTCGCTGCTGCTGGTTTCCTCGCAGGTGGAGCGAGCGGGGGAGGGGAGAGTGTTTGCGAATTGCAGGGGTATCCCAGTTTCGGTGAGAGATCGGGATTCTCTCAGCCCCGATCGACGTCTGACACAGACCCTATTTTTAAAATACTGCAGTGTGCAGGCAGGAGGGGAAGGAGGGGCGATGCGGTGGAGAAGGGGGCGATCTCGGCTCTGTCAGCCGCTGAACGCTGGGAATCTCTGGGCTTCTCTGTAAATAAACCTCTTGACTCCGTCGCTGGTTTTTTAAAAAAAAAACGATCTCCGCTGCTTGCCGCATTGCTGTGTGCGTGCATGCATGTATATCTTTGTATACGCTTTCAAAGCGTGTGGGTCCGCGAGCCGTTTATTTAAAATACCGGCAACGAGTCAAATAACCGGCGATCGATGGTCAGTAAACTTCCTCTCTGGAAATCTCCTCTGCCAGCGCGCCTAACTCGCTCCTTCTGGAGACCAGCCAGGTAGAAGCCACCGACGCAGTGAGATCGCACTGAGCATGCTCCCGAGCCGCGCTCGAGCTCCCCGCCTGCACTGAAGGTCTTTCCCCGCATTCCTCCTCGCGCGGGATGTGGGTCGAGGGAACCCGGGAAGCCGCCGGGCAGGCATGCGCGCTGCGGGCGCGGCGGGACGCCGCTGGTCAGCGGACAGGTCGGGCGGGGCGGCCCCTTCTCGTGCTTCCGCGGCAGCGCGTGCCTCTTGGTGACGTCGACTCGGGGATTACTGACCAGCGGCGCGGGGTGAGCACCAGCCGTGCGCCCTGGGCGTCTACGTTCCTCTCCGGCTCGCTTCCACGCACTACCTGAAATGACCGATTTTGCATCAATGGGCGGAGTTGTAATTCTCTCTGTCTCCGGATTAGCTCATTATCCCACCCAGCCAGCGTCGCACTGTGCAGTTTGCTCTCTCCAATAGAGGTTGTGCAATGTGCCTGACAGGTAGGGTCTTGCCTTGCCCCCAAAACGCCCAAAATCCCCCCCATTATTTGCATTGTTGCTTTGGAAATGTCCTTCCCGATTCCCGATCGGACGTCACGCGGTGTTCAGACGCGCAGGAAGGAGCGAGCGCGCAGGTCAAAGGGCATCTTTTAATACGGCGCATCTCGGGAAGGGGCAATTCTGGCCCATTTGAAATCCGGTCGGGAAGTTAGATCCACACCCCTACAACTCTTTGTGTACAGGGCAAGGGAACCAATTCGCTCTTTCTACTTGGGCAAGAGTGGGGCCCCCTGTTTCTCAGCGGCCAGGCCTGCAGGCGCGCCCGATGTCTTTGTCATGGGCCGTGGCTCCTCTAGGGCGTTACCCCACACGCGAGCTGGGGTGTTCCTTCAATCCATCAGTCCTCCAGGCAGCTGCCCCCCGGCGGTTCACCTAATGTGGGGGAGCGAACAGGGGGTGGGTTGGGGGGATAAAGGCACGTCATCCAGTGCTGATGGGCTGGGGGCTCTGGCGGATTCCACAAGGAAAGAGGAGGTTTGAGTCGTTCTTTGAGAACTAAGCAAGCGGTCAAAATGGAGAGGGTTTAACCAATGTGTTTAACCAAACAAAAAAAACCTCTTGCCCTTGCTTGGAGACCTCCTGCTCCTGGCTGGAGATTTCGCCTCCCGTATGGAAGTTCTGTGTGTCAAGGCAGTTGCTGTTGTTTTCTTTCTCCTGCACGGCAAAACTGGGCACTGCACCAGGAAGCTCTAAAGCACGCTCTCCGGGCGTTGAGAGCTGACTTCGGCAGGGGAGCTCCGAGCCAGTGACGTGACGGACAGGGGAAGCCCTTCTCCGCTACACTCAAAAAACCGGGCGACTTTTTTTCGCGTTTATCGGCGGCGCGGGTGATTTCAACTGCCAGTGGAAACTCAGAAGCACACAAACAGACGCAAAGGGGCCCCCGGTGCGCTGATGTAATAAGGATGATGGAGGGATTCACCCACAGTGAAAGTCAGACCTGACACAACCCACAGGCAGAGCGAGCTCGTGTTTGTAATCAGTCCCACCTACGCTGAGCCGTTGCAGACAATAACACTGGCTTTCTCCATCACCTACACGCCCCCCTCTTTCTCCCGTTAATATTTAATCAGGTCTCATTTCGCACTTGTGGAGAACAACATTCCTCACTCCCACACGGCCCTGGAACACTCTGCTGTGTGGAATTGATTACAGCACATTCTCACCGGCTTATTTCTGCTCTGTAGATCTGTTTCGACCGGTGTCTGTCGGCGTGCAGCTCAGGTGTTCTGGTTGCGGTACCTGTTTGTGCCTCTCTTTCTTACGTCCTGCTGGGCGGTGCCGACAGAGGGGCTTTGGGATGCTGGAGGGGAAGGTGGGGGTGGGAAAAGGGGCACCCCGAGGCAGAGCCTGGAGCCCCAAGACCACAGGCTCCTGCTGAGCACCAACAGT